GTAGTAATGCAGTGATATTCCAACAGAAAGTACGCAAATTCGTAGTGATAGAGACATATCTGAGTAACATCTCACGATAAATGTTGTTTGGCCTTTTATCTCTCACCATGTTAGATAAAGCTGACAAATTACAAAATACCTCTCGTGTGATGCGGCTTCCCATTCAGCTGAGTATGCACAAGTTTCTTCTTTCGATCATGCTTAAGTCAGTTGCGTCCGATCATTTTTTCAGTAGTATCAAACTTTTTGGGAGATTTTTGGAAATTAAGAAAGCCAGAGGGGTTGAATATTTTCATCCACTACTACTAGCTTCATCACCCATCCAGGAAACATTACCAAAATATGCAGCACATGAAACAAATAATACCAAGTAAAAGCAGAATCACAAATAACAATTAACAGAAATAAATAACAAAAATAAAAAACAAAACAATAACCCCCCCCCCCCCCCCCCCCCACACACACACACACTTGAACTAAACATTGACCTCAATGTTCAATGGAAAGATAAAGAGGGGGACTCACAATGCCCTACTGAGGAGGATGGGGAGGTGGAAACTGCAACATCAAATGTCGTATCATGGCATGCATTTCATCCATAAAAACCCTTTGTCGAGTCTGCTCTTCTCTTTGTCTTGCTTGCTTAGAGCGGATGTAACCCATCTCAATTTGCACCCATCCCCATTGATCTTAAGATATTGAAGAGGACCCGACACCCTGTTAGGTCTAGTCGTGGAAGGAAGTACAAACTGCTCCTGAGCATGAGCACCTTCTTCCATAGCTTTATCTGCAATAACATCATAGCATTATGCCTGCCCCCTTCTTATGGGACAACCATCTCATACAACAAGTTAGCACAGTCAGAAATGCTAACTTTATCAGGATCGTGCAAAGCAAGGACATGTCTTTTATGAACTATAAGAGAGTAATAATCACGATAAACCTCAATCAAACCTTGCTGAATAAGAGCTCTCATGTCAACTTTATTCTTACCAGCCACTTGGGTTTCACCAAGAAAAATCCCACCATAACAACAATATTCGACAATTTGGGTGATCATGCCCCCTACCAAAATACCACCTGAACTAGCGCGGCCCATCCGCTCCAGATAATCAGTCGCAAAGGCCGTAAAATTCACAAGCTCATTATGGACCATAGAGGACAAAAATAACAATTCTCGCTTCGTGGCCACTCCCATACTATCACCTCGCTCAAACAAGGTATATGCCAAGCCTTTTTGAGCATATCAGAAACATGGGTTTTGAGTGCCTGAGGCCTTCGCACCCTTCGGTATGTACTCAGGATGGCCAATAATGGTTGTCTATAAATCGTGCGCAGCAAACTCTTCTGGCACAGCTCCAGGGCCGACTTGTGGAAGGCGGAGGATTCTTGCTGCATCCTCTACAGACAACATATGATCTTAATTGTAAAGGTGGAACGTGAGATTACCATAATATTCTTTAGCAAAGCTTGACCAACTTTTTTCTAAATGAAAATCAATCGTGCTCAAGAACTTAAGTGTAATGCGCTCATATGTCGGCGCCTCAAAGAGCATAATATCAAGCATACCTAAGACATGAAACATCATGTTTACCTAAAATTTTAACCCTAAATCATCCAGAGTTTTGTCACAGATATACTTGGTTAGGGTTAGCTTACACTTGACAAGAACATAATAACTATGTGTGTGAGTCGGTTCTTCGAATATGATGTCATGTGCGTTTTATGTGTGGCTCGCCCTCTTTCATGGCCTCGACATCTCAACCACTGGTTGATTCCCTTTGACACTTCTCTTTGGGGGAATTTTCGTACCTGAAAAAAATTAGAGAAAATTGAACGGTGAAATTAGATGAAAAGACCCCAGAATATGGTGGATGACAAAATTTGGTGAAGGTTTTGTGAAGACAAATCTTGATTTGGGGTGGAGGGGATGGTAAAGGTGGGAGCTTTTGTGGAGGGTTTAATGGAAGTTAGGGATTTTGGTGAGAGATAAAGGTTAGAGATGAAAAGAGATGAAAATAAATCTAAATTTGTGGTGGGATCAGTGAGTGGAAGTGTTTAAGTGACTAGTGGGGTCCAAATGAAACAAGAAAACATTGAAATTTTTTCCACTTGCGCTGACCTGGAACGGGATGTGTCCGATGACATGGGCGGCCGTGTCAGGCATCTAATTTCCCCTTTTCAACATATTTCCTTCAGCACGCCCAACACGAGTCGTATTGCCTGACACGGGTGGCCGTGCGTGTCAGGGGTCTAGTTTTCACCCTTTTTCACACTTTTTCGTCCAGCTTTCAGCATGCCCAACACGAGCCATGTTTCCTGACACGGGTGGCCGTGTCAGGGGTCTGATTCCTCTTCAAAATTCTTTCTTTTTTCCTTATTTCTCTGTGTTTTTACCGACACAACTTCTTGCGCTGATGCTTGTTCAAAATCCTTGTCCTCTTGAGCGCCTCTGCTCTCTTGTCCAAGGCACCGTGCCTATTTAATCAAACCCTACAAAACTAAACACAAACAAAGAAAATAATTAGAAATAAAACATGTGGGTTTCCTCCCACATAGCGCTTCATTTAACATCACATGGCTCAACGATCGTCCATATTATCCTGTAAGACGAACATCATCTATCATACCAATCTATTGGCCTTGATAGTATGGTTTTAGTCTTTGTCTGTTCCTTTTAAAGGTGTCCCAGTTTGCTTGATTTTTGAGCTCGATTGCTCTATGCGGGAACACTTTATGAACCACAAATGGTCCAGACCATCTGGACCTAAGTTCTCCTTGAAATAACTTCAACCTAGAATTAAACAACAAGACTAACTGTCCTTCATAGAATTCCTTCTTCTGGATCTTTTGATCATGCCATTTCTTTGTTTGTTCCTTATAAATATTGGCATTCTCATAAGCCCTATTTTAAACTCTTATAACTCATGGAGTTGAAGAATTCAGGATTCGCCAACTTTCAAAAGATCGCAATTCAGGAATTTGGAAGCCTAAAATGCTTTATGCTCGAGTTCGAGCAACAAATGACAAGCCTTACCATAAACCAACTAATAAGGAGACATACTTATTGGAGTTTTGAACGCAGTTCTGTACGCCCAAAATGCATCATCCAACTTTATCGACTAGTCTTTCCGAGAAGCACTAACAATCTTTTCAAGGATCTGCTTTATCTTCCTGTTAGACACTTCCACCTGCCCACTCGCCTGAGGGTGATATGGAGTGGAAATCTTGTGCTTCACATTATACTTTCTCAACAAATTCTCCATCAACTTGTTTAGAAAATGGGTACCCTCATAGTTGATTAAGGCTCTTGGTACCCAAAACCTAGAAAAATTTGGGTTTTAAGGAAGTTCATAACCACCTTAGAATCATTTGTGGGCAATGCTGCCGCTTCTACCCACTTGGACACATAGTCAACCACGACTAAGATGTAATTCTTTCCAAATGAGGGTGGAAACGGTCTCATGAAGTCTATCCCCCAAACATCAAACAGTTCTATTTAGCATTCTGGGGCATCTAATTTCTCTTTTGAAATGTTCCCAGTCCTCTGACATTTGTCACATTCCTTCACGATGCCTTGAGCATCCTTGAACAGAGTAGGCCAGTACAACCCCGACTAGAGGAGTTTTGCTGCTGTTTTATCTCCACTAAAGTGTCCTCCATACTCTGAGTCATGGCAAGCTTTTAGGACATCCCTCTGTTTTCCTCTGGAACACATCTTCGATCCAACCCGTTTATTCCCTTTTTGTACAAGAATGGTTCGTCCCACAAATAAAACCTGCAATCATACAAAAACTTTTTCTTTTTGTTAGAATCAAAATCGCCAGGTATTATTCCACCTACCAAATAATTCACATAGTCTGTGGACCACAGAACACCAATCACAACTAGGATTCGTTTATCGACAAATCCATCCTTGATTGGGTGTTTCTCTTATGTTTCTTCTATCGGGGACATCCAGGATAAGTGATTAGCAATAGTATTTTCACATCCCTTCTTGTCCTGGATTTCCAAATCAAACTCTTGCAGAAGCAGAATCCATCTCAGTAGCCTTGATTTAGATTTCAGTTTAGCAAAAAGTTATTTCAAAACAGCATGGTCAGTATAAACAATTACCTTCGACCCCAACATGTAAGACCTGAATTTGTCAAAAAATACACCACTGCTAGTAATTCTTTTTTAGTGGTTGCGTAATTCATCTGAGCAGGATTCAACACATGATTTGCATGGTAAATCCTAATTTTAACTATACTATAAATTTATTATTTATTAACATATTAATAATATAAACTAAAAAAAGATCATGCTAAGGAGTGCTCTAGAGACACTCTTTAAGAATTCCAAATTAAAAAAATATTACATTGAATACAATTCTTATAAAGAAAAACATACATTTTATTCTTTTTAAGTCAATTATTTTTATTTCCAATACATTAAATATAAGTATTCTTAAACAAAAATTTGTCTTTTTAAACTCTTAACAAGTGTCCCAGAACACTCGTTAGCATTTCTGATTAAAAAAATAATTTATAAGATCGATATCTAAAAATCGATCTAAATTAAATCATATAAATTTAAAATTGATTGCACCGATTTTTTTAATCAATTATTAAAAATCAAATCACATCCCGAATAAATTTATCTTTATATTAAATGAGTTTTTCCGTCAAAATCAATTTAAATAATTTTGTGGATATATCATAATTTTTTAATTTTAAAAACAAATATACATTCTAAAAATATGCTCCCATGTCTGACACAGATTGTCGCACGTGTGAGAAAAGATGAAAATCAATTATTTCCACGATGATTCGTTGTTTCAACGCTTACCGCGTAAGCAAACTTCACGATCAAAACCAGCATCGCTACCAAATCCAAACGCCGAATAACCCTATCACGGAAAACCACGATCGGAACCCACAAAAATTATTTTTCTCATCGCCGATCTCCGATTCAACCACTTCTGACGGTCATCGTTACCTTTCATTCGATCGAGCACGATGAGTTTCATCTTCGGAAAGCGGAAAACACCCGCAGGTTTGTTTGTTCATCATCAATCAAATCCCTTTAGATTTAACTTGATTTGAACTGTGATATCTTTGCTAGGCTGATCCTTAGTTTTCATCGTGTATTGATTCATCTTTTGATTGATTTGGTAGGGTTTGAAATTGTATACATAATGATTTTGTTTGTAGTGTGTGATTGTGATTTTTTTTTTTACTTTCAGAGCTTCTGCGGGAAAACAAGAGAATGTTGGACAAATCTATTAGGGAAATTGAGCGGGAGAGACAAGGTTTGCAGACGCAAGAGAAGAAGTTGATTGCGGAGATAAAGAAAAGTGCTAAACAAGGCCAGATGGTAATGTGATTGTGTGATGGTTGTGTTATTTATCTCTTAAGTTATTGGTTGTAGCATGTAGAGTATAGTAGTTTTGTGTCTGTTTGGTTCTGTGGTGGAAAACAATTGATTCTGTAAAATTGATAAAACGTGATTTATGTTTGAATAAATTATTGCAAAAGTGAGTTGAACAATACGTAACAGTGTAAAAAACACGTTTAAACGCAAAAGCTACAAATCTTAGCTTCAAGTAGAATCAATTCTAGAAAGCATAATCAATTCTACTTGAGAGCAACCAAACACATCCAAAATCAATTCTTAGCTGTTTTTATTCTAAAGTTATAACACCTCATCTCTATTATTGAGGTAGATGAGTGTTGTGGATGTTTACAGATCTTGAAAAAAGGCATAGGACCTTTATGTGTTAGCTGTCCCGATGATGATTTTTGGTTTTTCTTCTTCTTAATCTTATTAGTTTCCTGTGATTTTCTTTGAATGTTTCTCTTTATATTTTTTATTTGTGAAACTGTTTCATAGAGTTATTAAAACTCAAAAGGTCCCCTCCGTGTTTACTTAATGGGTTTCTTGGTTGCTAACTGTTGGGGGAACTAGTGTATCTAGTTATATGCATGATTGGTACATGAATACTGTATTCATATGAGTAATTACATTCACTATTTCCTAGGCAAGATTCTTTATATGCTATAGATAGTAGAATGTACATGTGAAGGGTGAGATTTACATTCTGACTCACCCCTTAAACTGTAGCATACATTTCATATGCACCAAGCTTGTTAAAAAGAAAGTTGTCCTCTTAGAGGTTTAGTAAAAATATCTTCAAAATGGTCATTGCATTTTACAAAACCAGCCGTGTGATTTCTCATTTGAATATTATTATTTTTTCCTTGTAAAATGGCAATCAATTGCTGTGTTTGGCTGTCACATTTTTTAATCGAGTTGAATACAGTATCTAGAGCAGTTTGGCTATCTCTCACAAATTAATTAACTTCATGTTCATGATATCAGGGATCAGCCAGTTGAAGCAATTGTTTTAGCCTCATAAGTTTACATCGTGTTGTCGCTGTAGCATGTAAATTTCCTTGGCACTAGATCTAGAAAGAAACAATGATTTGTTTCTAGTTTGTTCCTTGGGATTAAGATTCCTCCACAAAGGTACAATACCTTGAAGTTTATCTTCTTTCTGATGGTCAGCCAAAATTTCAGTAACCCTTTTCTAGTGCAGTCTCGATATGCCTAAGAATTGAACACATCATCCCAAAAGCAATTAGATTGTCAACTGTCTGACTCTAACGTAATTGTCGGTCTAGTTACTATTAGATTGTTCTGTTTAGACAACTATATTTCCCAGGGTCTGTTAATGGCAGCCCTTGCCTCAGTAACAGTATGATATTAGGATCCAATGGTTAGTATATTGAGACAATAGACCCCCCAATGTCTGTTTCCTAAAACATGTTTCTGGCATTGGGCTACTGTATAAGTAAGATTTGTGGGCTAAGCCTTAGAAGCTGTACTCCAATGATGTCAACTGTCTGTATTACATTATTTATAATCTAATTTCCCTTAAAACACAAACCATGGACATACGAACTTCACAAAATTGATAATTTAATTGCCTCAAAATGTAGCTTGACAATGAAATGTGAAAGTTTGACTGATGGAGTTATTGTAAGATGAAATAGTAGAACTGGTTTGTGTATTATGAATATAGTTTACTTTCAATATTGTTGCACATAGAAGTTTTGATTTATAAACCAAACCTAATTTGTCAGCAAATGCCATATATATTTTTGGTTATTTATCGTTAACTTCTGTTTTAGCCTTTTGGTATATCATACTTATTTCATCAATGACATTTTTGTATTTCATGTAATGTTGTTCAGGGAGCTGTTAGAGTCATGGCAAAAGATCTTGTTAGAACTAGGCATCAGATTGAAAAGTTTTACAAGCTAAAATCACAGCTCCAAGGTGTATCACTCAGAATTCAGGTATGTAATTGGTACTATTTCTTGTAGCATATATAGTCATTATTGGTTATTATTCTGTTCTAAGGCTCAAAGCAGTGTTTGTTTCTTGGAATAGAGTTAATCGGCTAACCGGTAAAATTTGATCAAACATTATGACTTTTACTTATTTGATAACTGAAAGCTAGTTAATTTGTATTAAAATTTTTCAGACATTGAAATCAACACAAGCAATGGGTGAGGCTATGAAAGGTGTGACAAAGGCCATGGGGCAAATGAATAGGCAAATGAACTTGCCAAATTTGCAAAAAATCATGCAAGATTTTGAGAGACAGAACGAGAAGATGGAATTGACGATGGAAGTGATGGGGGACGCAATAGACGATGCTTTGGAGGGGGATGAAGAAGAAGAGGAAACAGACGATCTAGTGAACCAGGTTCTCGATGAGATTGGAATCGACATAAACCAAGAGGTATGTTTGTTACTTGTTTCCAATTTAACATTACCTTTCACCTGAAAGTATGACACTAGTAGTGACTATAACAATGCATTACGAATTTTTGTTTTGATGTGCAGCTTGTAAATGCACCATCGTCAGCCGTTGCTGCCCCGGCCGCGAAGACTAAAGTACCTCAAGCTGAAAGTGCTGCACCTGATGACGGCGGGATAGATAGTGATTTGCAGGCAAGATTAGACAACTTGAGAAAAATGTAGTCTTTCATCAATGAACCTCTTGTTTACTGGGAAAAACGAACTTCATATGTACCATATGATTGACAAGCTGTGCTGTGATTTGATGAACTCGGCATGATTTATAAATAGATGTTATTTTGTATAAATAAAATTATTTTTTTCAGTTTTATATAATGGTGCATACTTTGAATTTTTTGGTTTGTAAATGTAGAAAATGTGGTGTTTAATCTGAGCATGCTCGGAAAAAAAAAAGAATGTAACATAATAAAATTATACTTCCTAATAATCTCATGTAAACTTAAGAAAATTAATTACCACCAAAGTTACCTTTATATCTTTTTATCCTTTCATTTATCTTATGACACATCCTTCACTTTAAGGACACATCCTTCACTTTAAGGACTTTACGGAAAATTGGCATAGCTTTTGTTTTAAAACTTATAATTTTATAATATCTCTCACATTTTTGTGTACATATATTTTTAAGTAGAAACGTTGACCATTGTCGCTGTACACTTCATTCTTTATTTTGTACATATATTTTTCATGAAAAATGGTTAATTTTATTGATAATTGAAAATTAGTATATGAAACTCAAAATTGTGGCATAGAGTAAATTGTCCACGTCTTTTTAGATCTTACTAATTATTGATATTGTTCTATTAATAAATATATGAAATATACAAATTTTAAACTCAACATTTATTTTTGTACACATAACAATGAGAGGTCTATAATATATATTAACTATAATTTCTTTGCTCTTAAATTTTTTTTATTAAAACATACAATACTTATAAAACTTAGGAAAACAAAATACCAACACAATTACCTTATTAACCTCTTTTAATAGTTGACATGTATTTCAATTTTTTAATATTAAATAGTAAAATAATGGTTTCATATATTCTTATTTTTATGCTTAATTTTATTCTATATAATATATATTATTTTTATAATATATTTTTCTAATTAATTGTTAAAGAATGTCTTTATTATATAAAATAGTTATTTATTATCAATTAATTAATTTATATTTTTCATAAGATTATAATTATAATTTTTTATTAAAAATATACATAATAAAAATGTACATCAATACAAAAATACTAAGTAATGCTTTTTTTCTTTCTATATTCAACAACAAAAAGATGAAGTTATAATTTTTATATCTAATATTTTTTCTAATGTTATTTTTATGAATTATTTAAGATTGAAATTCTGTCAAAAATAAATGGGGCCTGGGTTAGGTTGGGTCTAAAAGTTATGTTATAATATAGGTTTAAATTATGAAGATTTCTTAATACATTTTATATGTTTCTTAGTCACTACCGTGAAATTTCAAAAATGCCTTTGAAATTAAAAATGTATTTTTGGTGCGGATCATATCTTATACATATATAAGAAAATTAAAAATGTATTTTCGGTTCTTATTTTTATGTATTTAAGAAAAAATTAAGATGTAAAGTGTGCACACCAGAGATGAATTTTCAATTGTTTGGAGGATATTTTTGGAAATACATAAGGTATTTTCCCCCTCTATAAAATGAAATAAGAAATTCTCTAAATATTACCCGAGTCAAGTTTAAGAAGGATTGCGGACTATTTGGTCATAAACATGTCTTTTCTTTATTAATTTGTATAAAAAATAAATAAAAATTTCATAATATTAATTAGGGTTAAATAAGTTTTTAATCCTTCTAAATATTTTAAATTTCGTTTTAATTTCTCTAAAATTTTTCTTCAAAGAATAGTTCTTCTAAAAAATTAAATTTTAAATTTTGTTTCCTCCTATAATTTAGCGACGAATTTTACAACTTAACAACGATTTTAGCTACGATTTTAACGAAGGTTTTTATTTAGCGATATAATTAGAGATCATTTTAACTATGGTTTTGTCAAGAGAGATCAAAAGTTAAAATTTAATTTTTTAAGAGAACCATTCTTTAAAGAAAAATTTTAAAATTAAAAACGAAATTTGAGATATTTAGAGAGACCAAAAACTTATTTAATCCTATTAATTATAAATGTTATAAATATGAATATAAATTATATTATTTTAAATATAATATAACTTTTTCTACAAAATTATTTTTTTAAAATTACTATAAAATATATATATATATATATATATATATATATATATATATATATATATATATATATATATATATATATATATATATATATGTGAATATGATAAAGTTGTGATGTAAAATATGAAGTAAGTTAATATTGATTTGATTATATTAATATATTATATTTAGCATAGAAATATTAAATATAATATAAGAGATCAAATTTTAGAGGTGGGACAAAATATGTTATCTTTTAGGGAAACAACAAAAACATTAGCATCATTTTTAAAATATTTAGTTATACAGATAAAACGGGCTACCCACAACACATAAAAAATAACTTTAAGAAATAATGGATTTTTTAAAGTCGGATTAAATAATTTTTTTAAAAATTGGATTCTCATTTAAAAACTTAAATCATATATTTTAATGAGTTTGACGGTCTAATTCATATAAACTAACCTATTTTCACAAGTTTTCGACACATATAACAAATACACAAATTTATCGATAATCAATCAATTAAATTTACTTTTTCTACGTTTTCTAAATAATAATAAGAATACTTATTTATATTAATTATAATTCAATATAAAAATCATACAAGTAATAAATGACTGTCATTAGAAAATAATTTTAAAAAACAGAATAGTTATAATACACCAATTATAATTTTTATACAATATGTAATATTTAGTTGTTTTCTCTAAATGAATCGTTAGATTATAGTTATAATATAAAATTTATAAATGATTACAATTTTTTATTTTTTATTCATTCACTAATTTTATATATTTTAAATTAAATTGAAAATAATTATAATAAATTAACTATAATTTATTAATAAATCATACATCGACAAATATTTATGATTAAATAATTAGTTACATTAATATTTTTTTTAATATTGTCACCATAAAAATTACACTAGATACAATTCACCAACATTATATAAGAATAATTCAAATACAATAAGTCTAATTTTTTACTTTTCAATTCTTTTAACATTTTTTTGTATATTTATACCATCTTATTAATAAAAATTTAAATAATTATACTATATTTTAAGTTTATTATTAAATGTTTACGGAAGATAAATATTTTTTTACTGCAACTTAACTAAATTTAAAAATATATAATAATATCATTAACATAAAAATGAATACAATTATAATATATTAACTATAATTTTTCGCACTTCAATTTTTTTACCTTTTATCAACATAATTCACTAGAGAAGTTATTAACATTTAGAGGTCATATATTGAACGAGTATTCATGAAAAATTACTTAACATATATTTTTCAATGAGTAATGAAAAAAAAAAAAAAAGATAAATTGTCATCAATGAATATAAAGGGAAATTTTTGTCTTCAATTAATATAAAAATAAATTGAGACAAATATTTGTAATTTTTCTGATAAAAACAAAACTAATTCATTTCATTAACAATTAACAATTTAATATAAAGAGGTAGAAGATGAAATGAATTACACTTAGATTAAGAATTGACCGCTTTCGCTAACGAATAAGTAATTATATTTACTTAGTGTTTTATAAACTCAACTTGAAAATTGGGACGAGAAGACAATAAAACTCTAATTGTACGAACAATTAAAACAAATTCGGAATTTCACATAACCGAAACATACCGCTTGGATCACTCGAAAAGAATCACTTTAAAAAATAACACAGTCCATGTTCATTGCTAAAGCACTTTGAATAGTTTCTTTAAATGTTAAAGCTTCCGTTTCGATAATCGAAAGATTACCGACATCCCACGTCGTTCCTGCAAACACAAAATTATCTAAATTATCTCAAACACACCAACTTCTATTAGAGACTCTAAAATATTTATTAAAACTAACATCCATATTGCACTTAAACCAACCCAATACCAATGGGTTCCAAGATAACGAGTGTTGCTGCCTATTATTATCATTCGAGGGATGTTGTGCAAGAAACCATTTCTGCCAATGGTAAAAGGAAAGCCACCCCAATTTGGTTTGGTATGGTCCTCTCTCATTATTCCACATCATATTTGTAATTTGATCCTAACAATTTAGTTCATGTTTTCAAAACAAAATTATGATGGTCAATGATCATATATAATTATTCAATTCAATTATGTTGAAAATATATAATTATTTAATGACAAACAATATCTTTTATTATTTATCATATAACTTTTATATTATATTTATTTAGTTAATGAAATATATTCATTATTTCAAACTTTATAAAATTTAATATATAATAATATCAATTCCAAACGAACGCGGAAACACGGGTATTTGTCTAGTTCTATTTTATTTTTAGATGATATTATTAAAACATATTAAAGTATATTTTTTACAATTGATTTAATTACTCAGAATTTAGCATGCCCGTTACGAATAGGCTTTGAGATTTTAAAAATAAAATAAGAATTCATAATTATTTGATCAAAGAAAAATGTCATACACAATGTTATGGAATTGGAGGAGGATTTAACTTTCCACCTCAAAAATTAAACATGACACTTCTTAATATTTTCATAATGATAAGAACGAAATTGAAATTTTTGGTAGATGATTCAAAATTTTTGGTAATTGATTTCTAGTATAATTTTTTTTAAAAAAAATTGTTATACTAGAGACTTTCGATAAGTTTAAGTTTTGAAAAGTGTTGGAATTTATCGAAAATTTTAAAATTTTCGATAGTGTAAACAATTTTATTTGTTGTCGAAAATGAACTATCAGATTTTTCAAAAAATTCATTAATTTATTCGAAAATTGCAGTAAAATAAATTTCAAATTTTTTTATAAGGGCATAAAAGTAGCTTTTGATAATTGAGTTTGGTGGACAGTCTTAACTGAACTCTTTCAGTTCTGTGTAATTTTTTTAATACTGTCAGTGAATTTCAATTCAAACTTTTGTGAATATGAAACCCTCTCTCTTTCA